GGGGTTGGCTAGCCTTTCCTGTAGTTAGTCAATAGTGCATAGGATGTCTCACCAGCGGACTTTTGGGGCTTGATGGTTCAGTAGTCTACAGGTCTTTTGCCCCATGCTAATAAAAGTGTGTGCGCACACACTGTCTCTTCATGGTCTCAGTTATATGCTCAGATATATAAAACAAATGCATGTCCTGGCAAAAGTAGTAATTGTGCGCTTTTGCATAAATTCAGTCGTTAACGTTTTCAAGCTGTATGAGAAAGCTGTATCTGAAAGATGGACCAAGCCCTAAAACTTTAGTAAGATGAACCAAGAAAACTAAATACTCCTAAGGAGAGAGGTAAAAAAAATGTTGTGAACAGGCAAGCAGCAACAGCTGGACAGGTAGTTACAGAGAATTTGCATGTTTCAACTAGCATTTCTCTAGGCTATCAGATATGTTTATCTGAAATAGATCTTCAAGAATTCTTGTGTAAGAATGCATAGCTGTGTGGTGGAACCTGTGTGTTCTGAGGACAAGAGCGATTTTCTCAACATGTAGCTTAAAATTTTTATTAAAGCTAATGTTTAAAAAATTATATAATACATAGGTTGAGAAAAGAGTGTCTGTACATCTGGGTATAGTGCTTAGATTATCCACAAATACAGAGTTTGTTTTTCAAGGCATATGATACATAAAGTACATAATCAGCAATAACCCAAATTTAGGTGAATAGATTTAATGATACAGTTTAGATACACCTCTACGCCGATATAACATGATCCGATATAACATGAATTTGGATATAACGCGGTAAAGCAGTGCTCTGGGAGGGTGGGGCTGCGCACTCCGGCGGATCAAAGCAAGTTCGATATAACGTGGTTTCACCTATAACGTAGTAAGATTTTTTGGCTCCCGAGGACAGCGTTATATCGGGGTAGAGGTATATTAGAATCTGAATACTCGGGTACATCACTCATGAAAAGTTGTACAGAGAATTGGTTGTGGAAAGCAAAATATATCAATAAGTGGAGATTGTCCCTCAGTAATTGAGAATTAGGTTGGTTGTCCCTGAGGAAAGTATTTGTTACTTTCCTGACTCTGCTTCTCATCAGCACTCCAGCTCATCCCTCCTGGTATTGCTGGGCCATGGCTCTTGCCATTCTCTGCCCACATGCAGTAGCAGCCCACTGGAAGATGCCGGCCTTTTCTCCCTCCCTGTGTTGCAGCTGGCAATGTGAGTAGTTCATGCCCCCACTCCTGAGCAGGTGCACAGTCAGGCTCATAGTTAAGACTAATGAGCAGCACAAGAAGTGCCAATGAATTCACGGAATTGAAAAGTAAAGCTAACTATGAGTAAGGGTGTCGGAATCTGACCTTGTCAGAGCTGGAATAGTGAAGAAAGACAAATCCTTGTTGATGTTAACCTTGCCTAAGAAAACAAGGTTCAAAAGGACGTGAATTGTATTAAACAATGCCCAGTGTGCTGCTAGGCACTGAAGACTCTGCATTGACAGCACAGCTGCCATGAATCAATATAATACAGTTCAGCTGGAGCATCCTGTTAAAATAAATAAAATAAAAATAAATTAATGGAGATATCCTATCTCCTAGATCTGGAGGGGACCTTGAAAGGTCATCGAGTCCAGCCCCCTGCCTTCATTAGCAAGTACTGATTTTGCCCCAGATCCCTAGGTGGCCCCCTCAAGGATTGAACTCACAACCCTGGGTTTAGCAGGCTAAATATGGTGAAACACTGGAATGCGTTACCTAGGGAGGTGGTGGAGTCTCCTTCCTTGGAGGTTTTTAAGGCCCGGCTT